CCAGCCTCAAAAGATTGTGTCTGTGTGAAGCAAGACATTTTTGACATCTAAAATATTAGTTACATATAATATGTGATGTTCAAATGTAGGTTACATGAGAAATGTTATAAGGCAAAAGGTGATTGTAGCCGTATTAGTGCATTTGCGACAGAAATGAGTACTGTCCGTGATACTTTTTTTATTTGCACTAACATACAATTTTGAGGACAAGCTTTCGGGAGTGTCCCCTTCTTCAAGGTCCAAGCAGTACTATACAAATCACAAAGTTTTAGCAGAATGTTAGAAGAGATGAAAAAAAAAAAAGATGCTAGAGATAAGACACAGCAAAAGCAAAGGGGGGAAAGGGGGGGGGGGGGGGGGGAAGACAACACTCGCATCACAGATGCTTTTGCTGTGTCTTAGCCTCTTTTTTTTTTTTTTCATCTCTTCTAACATTCAGCTAAAATTTTGTGATTTGTATAGTACTGCTTGTTTATAAGGCAAAAGGAAATGTTTAAATACTCTTGCAAAAATAAAATCTTAGCTGAAAATTGTTAGTTTTTACTATATTAATTTAGGATCATTTGAAACAAACAAAGAAAAATGACTGAGGTCAATACCCTTTAACCAGTTCCCAACCGCGCTATAGCTAAAGGACGGCTACAGCGCGGTTGTCTGGTTCTGGGACGAAGTCCATGGACGTCATTCCAGAACACGCCCCCTGCGGACACAGCTGATCACGGGATATGGTAAACGGCCAGCCACAGTGGACTTTTAACACGTGATCAGCTGTGTCCAATGACACAGCAGATCACCGGTAAATGTAGTTGCCAGTTATTGGCTGCACTTTCTTCACGCTGTCACAGCATGAGGAAAGTACTGCTGATAACCGGCAATTGTCAGGGAAGTGATCGGAACGGAGTATCAGTGCCCTGATGATCAGTGCCCTGATGATCAGTGCCCAGCATTGCCGCCCACCTGTGCCCAGCAGTGTCGCCCACTTGTACCCATCAGTGCTGCCCACTTGTACCCATCAGTGCCGCCCACATGTACACATCAGTGCCACCCACCTGTGTCCAGCAGTGCCACCCACCTGTGCCCTGCAGTGCCACCCAGCAGTGCCACCCATCTTTGCCTAGCAGTGCCACCCACCTGTGCCCATCAGTGCCACCCACCTGTGCCTAGCAGTGCCCCCCACCTGTGCCCATCGGTGCCACCCACCTGTGCCCTGCAGTGCCACCCACCTTAGCCCTGCAGTGCCACCCATCAGTGCTGCCCATCAGTGCCACCTATCAGTGCAGCATCTTCATTGTCAGCTCATCAGTGCCGTCTATCAATGCCGCCTATCAATGCCTCCTATCAGTCCCATCAGTGCTGCCTATCTGTGCCCATCAGTGCTGCCTATTAGTGCATCCTCATCAACGCACATCAGTGAAGGAGAAAAATTATCTGTTTGCAAAATTTTATAATAGAAACAAAGAAAAACTTTTGCAATTTTTTTGTTTATAGCACAAAAAATAAAACACCCAGCAGCCAGTAAATGCCACCAAAAGAAAGCTCTATTTGTGTGAAACAAATTATATAAATTTCATATGGGTACAGTGTCGCATGTCAGAGCAATTGTCATTCAAAGTGCGACAGCGCTGAAAGCTGAAAATTGGCCTATGCAGGAAGGGGGTATAAGTGCCCAGTAGGCAAGTGGCTAAATTCCTAAAAAGGAGCCATGATTATTATAATTATTTAAATGCTTAGCCCTCCATTCGAACCTACTGGGAGTGGAAAAGAAAGAAGGCACCACCTACCGATAAAACCATGTCGTACCCCTTTAAAGGGAAGTAATTTGAGTAAAGACCAAGCTAAGAGTATTTTTAATTAACAGCATAAGATAGGACAAACGTGAATAGTCACTAAAGATGAACATACAGTTGTGTCCAAAATTATTCAACCCCCAATGCTGTAAAGGGGTTTAGGGACTATAGTGTACATTTGGAATTGTATTCAGAATCAAATCCTACAAGGACGTTGTAACTACCCAAATGCAACTAAAATGACATCAATTGTTTATGTAATACAGTAGTAAATGGTTCTTATGTGGTTTCTTCATTGCCACAATTATTCAACCCCTTAAAGACTACCACTCTGAAGAACAGAGGTTCATACAGGTGCTTTCCATCAGGTATTGAAAACACCTGTGGATGTCACCGAGCAGCAATCAAGCATAATAAGCACCAATTAGGCAGCTTTAAAATGACTGTGATACTCAGCTCCTTCTAGACATTTACTGGTGTGGTTACAAACATGGTGAAGGCAAGAGAATGGTCCAGGAAGACAAGAGAAGAGGTGATTTCTCTTCACAGGAAGGGCAATGGCTATAAGAAGATTGCAAAGATGTTAAACATACCAAGAGACACCTTAGGAAGCATCATTCGCAAATTCAAGGCAAAGGGCACTGTTGAAACGCTACCTGGTCGTGGCAGAAAGAAGATGCTGACTTCGACTGCTGTGCGCTACCTGAAGCGTAGAGTGGAGAGAAGTCCCCGTGTGACTGCTGAGGAACTGAGAAAAGATTTGTCAGATGTGGGTACAGAAGTTTCAGCCCAGACAATAAGACGCACACTGCGTAATGAAGGCCTCCGTGCCAGAAAACTCCCAGGCGTACCCCCTTGCTGTCTCCAAAGAATAAGAAGAGTCGACTGCAGTATGCCAAAAGCCATGTGGACAAACCACAAAAGTTGTGGGATAGTGTTCTGTGGACTGATGAAACAAAATTAGAACTGTTTGGGCCCATGGATCAACGCTATGTTTGGAGGAGGAAGACATAATACAAGGCCTATGATGAAAAGAACACCTTGCCTACTGTGAAGCATGGTGGAGGGTCAATCATGCTTTGGGGCTGTTTTGCTTCTGCAGGTACAGGGAAGCTTCAGCGTGTGCAAGGTACCATGAATTCTCTTCAGTACCAGGAGAGATATTGGATGGAAACGTGATGCAGTCCGTCACACACCTGAGGCTTGGGAGACGTTGGACCTTTCAACAGGACAATGATCCCAAGCATACCTCCAAGTCCACTAGAGCATGGTTGCAGAGGAAAGGCTGGAACATTTTGGAGTGGCCATCGCAGTCACCAGACTTAAATCCGATTGAGAACCTCTGGTGGGACTTAAAGAAAGCAGTTGCAGTGCGCAAGCCTAAGAATGTGACTGAACTGGAGGCCTTTGCCCATGAAGAATGGGCGAAGATACCCGTAGATCGCTGCAAGACACTTGTGTCAAGCTATGCTTCACGTTTAAAAGCTGTTATAACTGTAAAAGGATGCTGTACTAAGTACTAAGATTGAATGTCACTTGGGGGTTGAAATAAAACTGATAATGCTGTGAGCACAGAAAAGACATTTGTGGTTATTTCATTATAACTGTTATGTTATATTTGTCTGACCTACAAGTGCCTCTTTAATGTAAATGTAAGCAAGATGACTGAATGATCAAAAGCAATGTCAAACTGGCCAAAACACTCAATTTCAGTGGGGTTTGAATAATTTTGGACACAACTGTATATGTTTACTTTGTATTGTTCCTATTGGTGATTATAATAAAGAGTATTATTCTAGACTATAACCCTTATGGTTTTAGGTTTTTCTGTTAATAAAGGAGGAATCAGATCTGTTCCTAGAAGTTAAGAAATTTCCATAGTATAGTTGGGATTGAACAAGAGGCTGAGATAGAAAAATCCATATGGATGGTGATGTATAATGTTTGAGCACAAATGTGATGAATCTATGAATGTTATTTCAACCATGTTCAAGAGCTGATACGGCTAGTGTATGGAAGGACATTGCTTTAAGATTCCAAAGAAAATATTCACTGTAAGGGGTAGAGGGCACGGAATGACATTGTTGATTGGAATGCCTACCCAACTTGACTTCAATAAACAAAAGGCAAGCTAATTTAATTATTTACGCCATTATTTAGGATGTATTTTTTCTGAAACCACTCCAGTACAAGACAATTTCACCCCCCATCCTGCCCAGGCCAATTTTCAGCTTTCAGCGCTGTCACACTTTGAATGTCAATTACCCAGGCATGGAACACTATAGCAAAATTAAATTTTTTGGGACAGATATTGCTTTCTTTTGGTGGTATTTAATCAGCACTGTTTTTTTAGTATATGTAGCACTACCCCCTTAAGGGTTACTTAGTAATTTTTGGGTTCCCTCTCAATAAGGACCTCCTTTTGAAAACCCAACCTCTGCTGACACCTTTGTACTCTTGTGACCACAATAAGCCACAACTGTAAAATGGACTCACATACAATGTAGTATGAACCCAATATGAAATTTATATTGGCATTGAATGTAACTATATAAAAAAGAACAGAATAACTGGGTATATGCAGTGAAGATGGAAGCCTCAGGGAGTCGTAACAGCGCTGCACTGGAGGGCTTCATTTTCAGGTAAGTCTTTCATAATGTGCTAGTATGCATGGTATGCTCTTTTTTTTAGATTTTTTTTTTTTTTCGCGGTTTACTACCACTTTAAAGAATGGCGATTCTCCAATATTTTTCTTGTTTGCTATGCAGTTTTCTACATGTCTGATCATTGACACAGTCACTGTACACTTCACACTTACTATTATGGACAACAAAGACAGTCTTTCTTTACACTTGAAGCTTACATTTTAGGCACACCAAGTAAACTGAGAACCTACCATGTGTTTTTTGCAATGTTCCCCCTTTTGCTGTTCACCACTTATATACTTGGCAACAGGTGCACAAACTTTCATGGAAAAATATTGATATTTTATCATAAATACCACGGCCAAATACAACCCATTCAAGTAAATGGCATGCTCTTCCCATTCATAACCCCTGCTTGGCTGTCAAAAAATAAAAAATCACCTCCTAAATGCCTGTTAGAAGTTCCTGTACCACTCTCTGAAAAGCAGTCCACTACTGATCGCATTTCAGAGTATGAGCCCTAATACTCAATATAAGACAATTCCAATGGAGAAATAGCTTTGCCCACCTTTATCTTTTGCAACATCTTCTACTTCAACATCCCGCATTTCCGCCATGTAGCCTAATACAGTAAAAATCACAAAACCAGACAGGAAGCTGGTCATACAGTTCACCACACTGGTGATAATGGCATCTCTGGAAGAAGAAAATGGACATTTATTTAGAATTCAGTACCTTTCATAGCTTTTCAGTATTTTTGTTTCAAAATAAGCCTAACAATTAAATCACTAGTAGATGTATACAATCTCAGGTTATGCACTTTGGTTGGGTTTAGCAAGGCTTACAAAAAAAAGATTACATTTTTAACGTCACCTTGCTGCAACAAAGGATTATTTCTTTACCAAATGTAATGGCACTTGCAAGGTACACAGTCTATTTGCTTTTAGTTAACCCCTTGGTGTCGGCGCCTCCCAGCCCTTTAAGGGTTTCAGGAGCCAGGAGGCGGGTGGGGTTTTAGGGTCATGTGACCGCCGTGATTCGTTGTCACGACGGTCACATGATTGGGAAAGGTCCCGACTGAAAGAGGAGATCGGGACCTTTCTGTGAGTACCGGACATGTGTGCTGGGAGCGCGTAGGGCAGGGGCGGACTGACCATTTGAAAACTCGGGCACTGCCCGAGGGCCCGGGGTCAGTAGGGGGCCCCATGAGATGCCCCTGGTACCTTTTTCATAGGCTTTTTTACGTTTGGGCAAGGACACAGGGGCCCCATGATCCCCTATTGCCTGGGGGCCCCATGAGTTGTCAGTCCGCCCCTGGCGTAGGGCACGCGCTCTCAGCACATATGTTTTTCTTAATTGAATGCAAATGTGCGGCCGCTCGGCCTCAAGGCCCAGACGCTGGGTGGCCGCACATTTACATGCGGCCGGCGCGAAGAGGTTAATCAACCCATATGGTTTGCAGCTACGAGTTGCCCTGATTGAACCAGAGAGACATTGCTGTGAAGAGTGTATGTTTTTTTGCTTTGTATTGTTCTGCAGTCTGCAGTCTGTGCATGTTCTTTGTCATTCTGAACCAATTACCTATACTGTTAAAATTGTTTTATGCATCCAGTTGAGCTCATAGGAAGTAACAAAGACACTGCAACAGGTATTAGGTGTTTTAACTAAAAATGTTCTTTGCCTGAAAAGAAAAAAACTTATGTAGCTGCCACATGAGTTTAGTTATCCTTTAAAAGAAATACAGGCAGCACAGGAGCTAAATGGTGAGCACTTCCATCTGGCAGTACTAGAGTCGTTGGTTTGAATCCCAACCAGGGCACCACCTGCCTGGAGCTTCCATGTTATCTCTGTTCCTGCGTGGGTTTCCTCCCACACTCCAAAGATATGCTGGTAGGTTAATTGGATCCTGTCTAAATTGGCCCTAGTATGTGAATGTAAGTTAGGGGCATTAGATTGTACACCACTTGAGGGTTAGGAACTAATGTAAATGTACAATATATATATATATGTAAAGTGCTTCATAAATTGATGGTGCTATATACAGTTGTGTCCAAAATTATTCAACCCCCACTGAAATTGAGTGTTTTGGCCAGTTTGACATTGCTTTTGATCATTCAGTCATCTTGCTTACATTTACATTAAAGAGGCACTTGTAGGTCAGACAAATATAACATAACAGTTATAATGAAATAACCACAAATGTCTTTTCTGTGCTCACAGCATTATCAGTTTTATTCAACCCCCAAGTGACATTCAATCTTAGTACTTAGTACAGCATCCTTTTACAGTTATAACAGCTTTTAAACGTGAAGCATAGCTTGACACAAGTGTCTTGCAGCGATCTACGGGTATCTTCGCCCATTCTTCATGGGCAAAGGCCTCCAGTTCAGTCACATTCTTAGGCTTGCGCACTGCAACTGCTTTCTTTAAGTCCCACCAGAGGTTCTCAATCGGATTTAAGTCTGGTGACTGCGATGGCCACTCCAAAATGTTCCAGCCTTTCCTCTGCAACCATGCTCTAGTGGACTTGGAGGTATGCTTGGGATCATTGTCCTGTTGAAAGGTCCAACGTCTCCCAAGCCTCAGGTGTGTGACGGACTGCATCACGTTTCCATCCAATATCTCCTGGTACTGAAGAGAATTCATGGTACCTTGCACACGCTGAAGCTTCCCTGTACCTGCAGAAGCAAAACAGCCCCAAAGCATGATTGACCCTCCACCATGCTTCACAGTAGGCAAGGTGTTCTTTTCATCATAGGCCTTGTTCTTCCTCCTCCAAACATAGCGTTGATCCATGGGCCCAAACAGTTCTAATTTTGTTTCATCAGTCCACAGAACACTATCCCACAACTTTTGTGGTTTGTCCACATGGCTTTTGGCATACTGCAGTCGACTCTTCTTATTCTTTGGAGACAGCAAGGGGGTACGCCTGGGAGTTCTGGCACGGAGGCCTTCATTACGCAGTGTGCGTCTTATTGTCTGGGCTGAAACTTCTGTACCCACATCTGACAAATCTTTTCTCAGTTCCTCAGCAGTCACACGGGGACTTCTCTCCACTCTACGCTTCAGGTAGCGCACAGCAGTCGAAGTCAGCATCTTCTTTCTGCCACGACCAGGTAGCGTTTCAACAGTGCCCTTTGCCTTGAATTTGCGAATGATGCTTCCTAAGGTGTCTCTTGGTATGTTTAACATCTTTGCAATCTTCTTATAGCCATTGCCCTTCCTGTGAAGAGAAATCACCTCTTCTCTTGTCTTCCTGGACCATTCTCTTGCCTTCACCATGTTTGTAACCACACCAGTAAATGTCTAGAAGGAGCTGAGTATCACAGTCATTTTAAAGCTGCCTAATTGGTGCTTATTATGCTTGATTGCTGCTCGGTGACATCCACAGGTGTTTTCAATACCTGATGGAAAGCACCTGTATGAACCTCTGTTCTTCAGAGTGGTAGTCTTTAAGGGGTTGAATAATTGTGGCAATGAAGAAACCACATAAGAACCATTTACTACTGTATTACATAAACAATTGATGTCATTTTAGTTGCATTTGGGTAGTTACAACGTCCTTGTAGGATTTGATTCTGAATACAATTCCAAATGTACACTATAGTCCCTAAACCCCTTTACAGCATTGGGGGTTGAATAATTTTGGACACAACTGTAAGTACCTGTAATAAATAAATACATATCTTTACTGCACATGATATCCTCAGCCAGAATATCACTTGCCTGACTGAACATTGGTGCATCCAGCTGTATCTCAGAGTTTCCAGTGTCAACTTCAAAGCACAGTAGGATACTGATACCAGTTAGCATTTTTAGTAAGTATTTACAGAGCATGTTTTATACTATGATTTTGCAACTCTTCCTTTGGCAATATCTACTAGTAAGAATGACAATCTTGTAATGGGATTTAGACCAATGGAATTAGGAACATTTTACTTGTTATATAGTTCATGACATTTTAAATTTAAAACAGGTATACCTGTAACAGTTGTTGTCAAATGGATTGTAGCTTGCAAGTGCTAGAAGTACCCAAATCCTGGACCTAGAGAGAAGAATATCTGGGCTGCAGCATCCACCCAGACCTGTAACAGCAAAGAACAGTTGCATTATATTCTAAAAAAGAAAGGATTGTTTTTGAGCTTACAGTACAATCAGATTCTTGGCTTGCACCCCCCCCCCCTTCCACTTCCTTAGTCTTTCACTTCTCCATTTTAGATGTCCATTATTGCTCATTTTAGAGAACTTTAGCTGTTTTTTCTGTTCTGTGTAACATATAAATGTCCAGGAGGCTACTCCTAACATACAGGCAGCAGACTGGAAGAGGGATTGTACAATGCTAAGACCACATATAGGGATGAGCTTTTGGTTTGGGTTGAATGTGAGCATGACCTGAACCCAGCCTGTTCACAGTTCAGTGAACCACCAAACAAAACTGTCCATATTTGGCCAGATCACCCATATACATTCCAGGCTGGTATTTGTACATAAAACAGCCAGGGTTCTATCATTTATTGGCAGTATCACTACCACCACTAAATGACAGATCCCTTCCTGGTTACTATTTGTAAACAAACCAACTGGAGATCCTAGGTGACATAATTGACCATATAGGTTGTCAAACATATTGATCAAATATGGTTTGATTGAAGCTTTCATTGCAGAACTGTGCGTGGAGTATGACTGAAGAAGAGTGGCATATAAGGGAGGCTGCTAAGATTTAGTAGATTTGTGAACAAAATTGTATGTACTTTGTCACAAATGGTATGGTGGGGCCAGGGGCGGACTGACCATTTGGAAACTCGGGCACTGCCCGAGGGCCCGGGGTCAGTAGGGGGCCCCATGAGATGCCCCTGATACCTTTTTCATAGGCTTTTGTGAGTTTGGGCAAGGACACAGGGGCCCCATGATCCCCTATTGCCTGGGGGCCCCATAAGTTGTCAGTCCGCCCCTGGGTGGGGCATATTGAGATGCTGCAGTGTGGTTAGAGAATGTGAGGTTATTTTAAAGTAACTGTGACCTGCTCATAAGCAGGTTGAAATGCTGTTTAGTGAGAAAGCTGCTTCTACAGCTGGGAGGGAAATAGTTAACCTGGTTTCCCACACTTTTTGCTGAACCTCTCTCCCTATGCTGATAATAAAAGGAGGGAGGGCTCTGCCCACATACACAGTCGAATGCATGGGAAAGAAGACACAGACAAACCACAGCATGTAATCTCCAGCAGCTTACATTGAAGAGAGAAGTGTGAGCAGTTCCAGCTCAGAAATCAAGCCTGACTGCTGTCAGATCCACCATGTAGAGGGACTGCTGGGATGTGTAGTCTGCCCTGAAGACATCAGCTGCTGGATACTGCCAAGATGGACTCAACCAAGCATGGACTCTTATCCTGTGCAGGTACGCTGGGGCAGCCACAAGCCTGAGTCAGTGACTAGGGTTTTTAGGGAAAGACTGCATTTAGTTTGAAGTTGTAACTTCTGAACTTTCAGTAAAGCTTTTGACACGTTGTCCCTTGCCTGGTCTGAAGTTACTAAAGAAGTTTTTGCAAGTAAATGGCACATTCTACACATAGTCTACAACGTGGATCTGTAAAGCACACTGGGGTATGAAGACAACAAGTAGTTACCAAGGATAATGGAGGTTTAAAAAGCAGCCTGTCCTGAAAATGTACCTGCGATAGGTGGGGTAGCCTCTTGCAGTTAGAGAGATGTTGTTAGCACTCTATGAGTGGTCCGTCTCCCATTACAATGGAAACAGATGTGCGCAGCAGCCCGTGCATAAGTACGGAAGAACAAGAGTTAGGTGAGTGCATGTATGAAGCCTGTTCTGGGTGTTCCATTTTGCCAATGGTAGTAAGGTAGCGGAGATACGCTGGACAGGTGGAATGGGCATAGGCTTAGCATGTCTCTTCTAAATGCAACAAGTTACGGTATGGTGTACATTGACACAGGTCAAGAGAGTTAACTGAAGTACAGTTTATTGTTCAAGTGTACACGGTGTACAGCCATCTCTAAAGTTGGAGTTCTGCCTTAAGCTTGAGTTATCCCTGAAAGCAACTCCCTGCCTTCTTCCAGGGCACTGGTGACCACTACACAAAGTAAAGGTACCCCATGTGTAAGGCGCGTGACCCTGTTCAAGATGCCTGGCATAGTCCAGAAGAACCCACCCCAGGGTAGGCCTGGGAACAAGGGGCCCAACACATCAAGCAACTCTATTAGGGGTAATCAACACAATTATTTTAACATTTTTAAAACCCTTTCAGGTGTGAATATAGTGCCTACATACTAAGGGGGGAGATTTACTAAAACTGGTTCACAGAGAATCCGGAGCAACTGTGCATCGTAACCAATCAGCTTCCAAGTTTTATTGCCAAAGCTTATTTGTACAAGCTGAAGTTGGAAGCTGATTGGTTACTATACACAGCTGCATCCAATTCTGTATACACCAGTTTTAGTAAATCTCCCCATAAATCAACTACTGTGAAGACCATGAAAGTCAATTATTGTTTTGCTGCATGCTTCCTGATAGAGCTTTATTGAAATACCACTGTTGCCTTTGAGATAATGGCTATGCATAGAACTAAATTATTAAAAACTGGAAAGTCGTATTATTTAAAACAGAAGTGAAAGGGCCTGTAAGAGTAGCAAGAATAGTTATAGAACTCAATAAAAATTGGTTTAATGTCTACAATAAAATGTTGATCCTCATTAAAAAGTAAGGCTGTTTTATTTTTAACCAAGCATTAAGCTTTGCTGCAAAGCTGAACAAATTATCCAAGACTCAAATCCTAGCATCATGTTATTTAATATTATAATTTAAAAGTAGAAAAGCAATTGAATTTCAGATTTTGAAAAAGTCTATGGTCTATAATTACAAACAGGAAGTCTATTATCAACAATGCTTTGCAAAATAAAGAAGAGGCAGCATTAATACAATATTGGAGAAAATGAGATGTGTAATTGAATGAAACATTTACATTTCCAAGGGGCTGTTCTGACAGTGTCTTTTTGGACATGAAACATAACAAGGTGATGTTTACTTATACACATCTGTCATCTGCTCCAGTCTGCAAACTTGATCATGTCTGTGATGTTAAACCAGCTGCTGGTGCATTGGCAGATGATGAATAAAACAGTAGTGTCATGAGTTTCCCCATGATACGTTATATTTTTGTCCATTTTATTTTTGAGCCTACATGCTGCAAACATAGCAAATCTGTCATAAATAGATTAAAGATCATTTTAGGTTAAATGTTTTGTGTGTGTGTGTATGTGTGTTTAATAAGCTGTGACACATTAATAAGCTCTTATCTTAATGCATTTCTATTGCAGCAAACTGTACAAGTAAAACCTTTTTTAATATGAAAGTAATAAAAATAAAAATATATAAAACACGAGACAGGACAACATTTTGTTTACATAGATCTATAAAGGCTTATCACTTACTCTCTTATTTTTTTACTATCAAGTGCTCAGCATAAATGAGTACACCCCTTTTGAAAAGTAAGATTTTAATCAATATCTCAATGAACACAAGAACAATGTCCAAAATTTTGACAAAACTGAGTTTTATAGAACATTTGTTTAGCTCATTACATGAAAGTAAGGTTAATAATATAACTTAGATGAAAAAATCCTTAGTTTTACTCATATTAGTTGATGCAAAAATGAATACACACCACACCAAAAACTACTACATCTAGTATTTTGTATGACCTCCATGATTTGTAAGGACAGCAAGTCTTCTAGGCATGGAATGAACAAGTCGGCTACATATTGCAATATCTATCTTTTTCCATTCTTCAAGAACGACCTCTTTTAGAGTCTGGATGCTGGATGGAGAGTGATGCTCAACTTGTCTCTTCAGAATTCTCCATAGGTGTTCGACTGGGTTCAGATCAGGAGACTTACTTGGCTATGGAGTCACTCTCACCCTATTCTTCTTCAGAAATGCAACAGTGGCCTTAGATGTGTGTTTTGGATGATTGTTATGTTGGAAAAGTGCACAACAACCATGGACATGGAGTGATGGTAGCATCTTCTCTTTTAAAATAGAACCGTACATCTATGAATTCATGATACGGTGGTAGTTCCCCGACACCAGCAGCACTCATGCAGGCCCACAGAAGGACATTGCCACCACCATGTTTCACTGTAGGCACCATGTATTTTTCTTTGTACTCCTCACCTTTGCGACACCATACAGTTTTGAAGCCATCAGTTCCAAAAACATTTATCTTGGTCTCATCACTCAAGAGTACAGAGTCCAAGTAGTCTTCTCTTTTTTCAGAATAGATCCTGGCAAATTCCAGGTGGGCTTTTTTGTACATGGGCTTTAGGAGAGGCTTCCTTCATGGATGACACACATGCATGCCATTCCTCTGCAGTGTACGCCGTATTGTGTCATGGGAAGCAATCACCCCAGTTTGGCTTTCTACTTCTTTAGCTAACTGCAGTGAACTTGCATGGCGATATTCTTCAATTCTTCTCATCAGAAGATGCTCCTGTCAGGCTGTTCACATCTGTGAACAGCCTGGAAATCTCTGTGAGATGGTTGCAGTTCTATCTTTGTTAAATATTTGTATCACTTTTGCTACAGTATTCTGACAGATAGGTAAAGCTTTTCTGATCTTCTTGTAGCCTTCATCTTTCTTGTGTAAAGAAATTATTTTCTTTCTCAGGCCTTGTGACATTTCTCTTCCATGTGGTGCCATTGCTGCCAGCATGAAATGTGAAGGGGTTTTCTTTGTTAAGTAAAGCCCTTTTATAATCAACTGTCTGCTGGACACCTGTTTAATGAATAATTAGGCACACTGGTAGCTGAATTCTTGTTAATTAGGATTTTGTTGTCTAAAACTTAGCTTTACTCCTAAGACTTTCATTGGGGTATATTCATTTTTGCAACATGGTCTTGAATGCATTTGTTAAAAAAAATACTGTTTTTGTGTGCGAAAATTAACAAATCTTGTTTGTAATCAATGGCCCGCATTTGTGGGAGTATTTTGTAGTATAGTGTCCCATGGAAAATGTTGATTCTGAAAGGAAGGTAAAGTTTTCTGACAAATCTGTTGGGGTGTACTCATGTATGCTGAGCACTGTATATAGTGTTTTATGTGGTCCTTTAACTGTTTAAATCAACCCAACATTTATGAATGTTATATATATTATGAATACTAGTATCATTATATAGGTTTCAAGGAGCATTGCAACATATCTTAGAATCTGAAACACACTGGAAGAAATCAATTTATTCATTTACTGAATGTCCTTATCAGAAGGGTAGATTCCTGTATAAAGTGGGAATTAGCTCTAGTAAAGGAGCCTGTTACTTACTCCTGTGTCAGTCAGCTTCTCCCAGTTGGGCCTCAGGTAGAACAGGATGCCTCTCCAAGCCCCAGGCAGTGTGGCACCTCGGATCAGAAGTATGAACAAGACCACGTAGGGCAGAGTTGCTGTCACCCACACCACCTGGAATGCAAAGCCCTGGGTATGACTGGAACTGACATTTTACAAGACTGTTGCTCTTTGGTTTACACTCTTCCAAGCAGTATTTTTTTGTGGTACAAACATGAAGATCACTTTTCATTTGTCTCCTGCTCAAAACTTCTAGCCTATGACAGAATCCATGTTTGCATCTAATTTCTGTATTTAGTAACTGGACAGGTTCATGAATCTAGAATTTCAGATTTTTTATTGCAAAAATAACCTTAAATTGTTACTAAACCCACAACAGTAAAATCAGTCTTTATATTCAGTAAAGCATACTTGTTATTCTCACTGTGGAACCTAAGGGGTTAATCCTCTGCATTGTTTAAAAAAGGCTGTTTGACTTCTCTGATCCTCCCCTTCTTCTAGTGTCCAACTCTTATCTCCTAATAAGACATATTGTGTAGGGTCACTCTGCAGATGCTCAGTTTGGTGTGTATTGCTATATAGGGTTTTTTTTCTTTGGGAGATTGCATGTGATCAGCAGAGGTCAGGGGTTTGCTTTCTCCTAGAGCAAAATTAAAACTCCTCCTACAAGCTTTAACCAGTGCTCAGCTAGACACTGATAAAAGTCACATGATTGCTATAACTGCTGATGAGAAAAGGTATTTAGCAGTTTATATCTACAAAAATAATTGCACTTTCATGTTGTATGTACTGTGGGAGACCAGATATAGTGAATGCAGGGTCCTGGGTTTAGTAACACTTTAATGTCATATAATGTAAAAGGAAAATGCATATAACATTAAGAACATATATAAGGCAGTAGAAGTGCACTAGATCCAAATGAAGCTGAATATGCTGGCAGGTACAGTGTATGACTACACCAAGTGCACCATTCATACACTTGGGACACCTTTTTTAATCTCTTAATAATCTCTATCAAGTAGAACTAATTGTGCCTACTACTTTTTGTGCTAGACTTGAAAGAACGGTGTCATTTAGCCATTTGCCTGTGACACTTTCCATCAACTGCATGGCATACGCCAGATGTGTGGCCAAAGAACACAGGAGTTGATATACTAAAGGCACTTAGGCTTTACATTTTACAAGGGAAGTTGCCCTTTGCAAAGGAATTTGCCTCAAAGATTAGTGAATGTGGTGAAACTCTACTGACTTCCATCATCCAATCATGTCAAGCAAAAATGCTGTTTCTTTATTATTCTTGCACATGATTGGGTACTCTTTTCAAAATTAAATTTCAACACATTCACTATGCTCTGCGGCAAATTACTTTGCAAAGCTCAACTTGTCTTGAAAAGTGAGCAGCCCATTTGCCTTTAGTAATCAACCCACTGAGTTTGTCATTACACCCAAGAAAGATGTTTAAAAAATGCCTCATATATGCCTATATTGCATTGATTAGCAATATTCATTTTTCCGGTTACATACTACTGTGCAGGGATGCTGTTACAAACCATGGGGCCCCATACAGGCAACCTGACAGCCCCCCCCTCCAAAAAAAAAAAAAAACAGTTTACTATGCTTCGGTTATGAATGAACACAGTTAGTGATCAGTATCAATCACTCATTGTGTATCAATCACTCATTGTGTTCATTCAGGAAGGACCGTGTAAATGTGACATATTTACTGGACCCCTCTCCCCACTCTCTATCCTGAAGGATCCCATTGTATGCTTACAGCTGCCGGTGGGAGAAGAGGAGGGAAGCTGGCAGCACTGTGGGGATGGAAGCACACAGGGGGGCATGAGCAGCAGAGGAATACGTATGGTTCACAGGGAGGGTGATGGTGTGTGGCTGGGGGGGCAATTACTGGAACCAATCCCCTGTATAGCTCTCTCTGCAGCAGCTGAAACCAAAGGGAGGGAGAGGAAAAGAAGCCAGCTTTCAGCTGCTGCAGAGAGAGAAATACAGGGGATCCGTTCCAGTAACTGCCTCCCGCCATGCTGATCATCCTCCATGTCTGCTTCCGATTCACCCATCTTCCTGACACCCCCTGCTGGCCTGGGCATTGTACAGGAGGACTGGTGGTACCCCCTTATCCATGGCCCTGCTAATCTTTCAAGGAAATGACAATTCTGAAAGATATAAATTTAAGAATTACATTATTTGCCAATCTGGTGTACAGACCTCCAAAACTCATGTACATAAGCTGGCCATACATGGATTGAATCTCAGCTGGTTCAGCAGGAATCGGATGAAATTCAGTCCATGTATGGGAAGGTTGGTTGTACAGAAGTTGATCTTCTTGTCCACTTTTGTACAACCACCCTGTTGGGTTTTTTCTTTATATAGCCAGCAACACTGATCAGTGTATTCTGACGGTGGGGAAGTCCCCCCGCCGTCAGAATATAATGACTCCCATGTCTTCTTTGCAATCTTGCCATATGCCCCTGAAACCTCTCCCTAGTCAAACCCCTACCTTGGTAAGTAAATAGAAGCATTTCATTTCTTTACCTTTCCTGATGTTTTCACTCCTTTCCACAAACTAAAGTAAACTATAGTAAAGATGAGGAACAAACAGATAAGAAGCTGCCACCGCAAGCCACCAACGTGGTCCAAACCATCGGCCTCATGTATACCCAACACATGCCTCCTGGAACAAAGAAGACACATAAAGGTGAGACCAGCAGTTTAATATGGCAGACTGTCTACCATTGCATTCTCTAAGGTCAGGCAATGTATTCTCTTGACCACTTTTGTTTTTCAAATATGTTTGACTGCATGTAAATGCAATTCTTAGTCTAATGTAAGGTTAACACACTTTCAAAAGGAAATCAAGAGAAACCGCATTGACCATCCCCACTTGTAAACCACACACCCTGTGAAGCTACATCCAAAAAACCATGCTCCCATTTTAAACATATCCCCAAATAAAACATATTTTGGAACAGGAGGCAGACATTTAGGATAATAAGACAAAATAAACAGATTTTAGATAACAGGTTTAGGAGAGATGCCTTAAGAGTGCTAAGAGGAAAGCTGCAGCACACGTAGCCAGCCAGCCAGTGAATGCTTGGAGGCTTGGGTGGATTTCACGGTTTATGGCTTGTAGCGCGGGGATAAAATAAGTCTCAAATTGGTGTCAGTTTCACTGTAAAAATATAAACTTATCATACCATGTTAGCTTGCAAAAGCACTGTTGAATACTATCCATGATACTTTTTATTTGGGGAGACAGCTGCTGTATGGTAAACACTATGAACTCCTGCTCCTGACACTTGTAGGGTATACCTCCGGACTGGCCAGTTAGAGAGCACATTTTTCAAGTGACACTAAACTGTTTTAATCTGAATAAAAAGACATAATGGAAGTGCAAACTCCTTGCTATACATTGCCACTGGAGGAGTTTCTTTCCCAGAGATAGACCGCCTCAAAACTGAGACTGTCCCTGGGAACTGGGGTTAACTGACAACCATACTGTAATAATTACGTTGGAAAATAAATCTGAATATTTTAACCACTTTTGGATCACCCACCCCCAGGTGGCCTGTGCAGGCAACAACATACAGGTACGTCATTGCCTGCTTCCTGGTTTAGGGCACATGCATGCGTGCCCCCACTCCTCATCTACACCACTGTGACTGTACACAGCAAGAGTTTGTCAGCATGTCACAGCCAATGATTCAGGTCCCGGCCAATGATTCATGGCTGGGACCTGCTGATCAACTGTGTCCAATCACAGCCCAGAGCCCTGTTCTGACAATCAACACAGGGCTCTGTACAGAGGGAACGATCTCTCTGTTTCCTAGGGATGCCCTAAATGTTAACCCCTTCCCAGCTAGCATCATTAGTAAAGTGACAGTGTATAGTGTTATCACTGATCAGTGACAGTTAGTCAGTTCCCCCCAGCGTCCGTGTCAGATTGCCTGCTGTACTATTGCAGTCCCATTATAAGTTGCTGATCACTGCCATTAATATGGAAAAAAATACAATACATATACTATAGGTTGTAGACATTATAACTTTTATGCAAACCAATCAATATGTTTGGGAGACTTACTCTTGCAAATGTCAATTTGTATTCAGTCCTGCTATACAATAGCAGTCCACCAAGTGAATCTGTTTTCACTTCAAACATCCAGCCATGTGTCTGGAAATCAGAATTTTTACTTACCTTACATATAATTGGATGTTTAAGGGCTTGTTCACACCATGGTGCAGAGACGTCAGTTTTTATGCACACTTTCTGCAAGGGCACACCAAAATTAACTGTTCTGTATGTACCCTGTTCACACTACAACACTAGTGTTACGTGCATAAAACTCATTGAGGCTTGCATGAAAACTGATGTAAACTGATGTCTCTGCAAGTGAAATGTGCATGTCAGTTTCCATCAGTTTTCCTGCACGTATGGTGTGAACGAGCCCTTAAAGAAATGCAGCTGCTTATAGGACCCACATTGAGGGAACTATCTAGATATTGTACCATAGTGGGAAGCAGCGAATATCCCTCTCCACTGATCCCTGTATTGACTCACCCAACGTTTCTCCCTGGACGGACTAATGGAATGTTTCAGGCTTGTGCTGCCAACAGCCTCACCACTGGAAGGGACTTCTTAACAGCTACGGAGTGGGGCGATTTCCTAACTTATCTGTGGCTCGGGAGGTCCAGATGCTTGACCACTGGCAACAGCTACAACTGTCCCATTTTTTACACTCCCTCCACTCATTGTCAATTTCTTACAAAGAGCTTTTGACTACTCACTCTCAAGATGACCCTGGGTTCCTTCGGAAATGGGAGAATGATTTAAGGGTTACTTTTCAGAACAGCAATAGGAGAGAATATTGGTCTTTGCCCATAAGGCATCGGTTTGTAATAAGGAAATGCACTTTTGCTAGGTAAGTAAAACATTTTTCCCTTAGTAAAAGACCCCAATGATTGAACACTGTAAGTGTTATATGCTCTAGACCACCTAAGTTGAATCCACTTACATGCACTTACGTATAAAACTCTTCAGCAGGGGATCTGGAAAAATTATTCCAAGAGATGTTACTCTTTCCAAAATAGTTAGTGCAGTTTTCTGTATTCCAAGGATTGTCACAACTAGTCCATGGCAGGGTTGTGGAAAAAGAGGAGTAGAAATAGTATAAAGCCCAGGCAATTATGGTGTTGTAGTAGAAAGACACATACAATCCAATGATGCATATAGCAAATCCAATGCCTAGACAAAAGAAATACCAAACAATAAGATATCCAGATGTCTTTATTTCATTCATGTAAACTAATTTAAATGGTCTCTTGGTAAAACTAACTTGACCATTCAGTATCGTAAAAAAAATACATCTCTTAAACAGCATAAATTAAAGTAAAAAAAATTGTTATCCATTTAGAACATTTCAGCAATTCCTTTTTTCATATTTGTTATAAAAACATGATCTTTAAGGGTCCAGTTTAGCTACCAATATTTTAAGACATTTTTAATAGCCAGCAGCACACACAAGCGCATTCAATTAATATTAATATTATTAGTAGTAGTAGTAGTATTCGATCAGTGTTTAGTAAAATGAAGGCAGACAGTACAATTACAATACAATTCAATAGAGGAGGAATCAGAGGGCCCTGCTCGTTAGACCTTACAATCTAACAGGGAGGGGCAAGTGATACATAAAGTAATAATTGTGGGGGATGAGCTAATGGAGAAAATAGAAGTTCAGTTGTTAGGTAGAGGCAGGAAATGGTTCTCCAAAAAGTTGGGTTTTCAGGAATCACTTAAAGGTGGATACAGTAGGAGAATCGGGTAGATTGGGGTAAGGCATTCCAGAGGAAGGGAGAGGCTATTGACAGGTCCTGGAGGCAAGCATTGGGAGGAAGAGATCAAGGAGTTAAAGAACAGGAGATCTTGGGAGGAGCAAATAGAATGGTTTGGTTGGTATTTTAAGACTAGGTTAGTAATGTAGCTAGGGCTGAGAGCAGGGTTGTGGATGGCTTGTAGTTTATTATTATTTCAAATTTTATTTGATGGATGCGTGGAAGCCAATGGATGGATTGGCAGAGAAGAGTAGCAGACACTGAGCAGTTGGTAAAGTGGATAAGTCTAACATCAGCATTCATGATGGACTGAAGGGGAATAGGCTATGTAAAAGCCAATGAGGAGGAAGTTGCAATAGTCAAGGTGATAAATAACCAGGGAGGGAATTAGAAACTTTGTGGTGACTTTGGTTAAGAAGGGGTGTATTTTGGAGATGTTGAGATGGTCAAATTTGGAGAGCGATTGGAGCCCAAAGCATGTGGGAACAGACTGATAGTTGTACCATCATTCTCACACACAAGCTAATGAAGACACTCTTGAAGGCAACCATCAGGATGCATGCTTGACTTTTATGTACATAGTCTTACCTCAGGTAAGACTATACACAACATATGCATGCCCATCAAATTCACTTTTAGCAAATCAGGGCAAGGCATCCCTGACACATTCCAGTTTACTGTGGGTCCAGCAAGCAAGCTGATGACTGTAGCAAATTTTATGCATATTTGAATACATGATTCTGCCTTTTTTATGAAACACCAAAATATTTAAAAAAGTGAAAGTTACCTTTAAAAATAGGGCATATGCGTTTCCATATGGGGATAGCGCCAATTCTATGAAACTGTCCTAAAGCCAACTCCATGTAGAAAAGTGGGACACCTCCAAAAAGAGCCATAATGGTATATGGTATCAGGAAAGCTCCTAAAAGGAAAATCAAATACTGTGAATACCTTCATATTATTAAGAGATAGAAATCAGAAACAAATCCCAAATGTGCAGGAAGTAGAGGGTCAAAGGCACTAAAGCTTAAGAACATAAACATGAAAGCTCAGTGACACATAGTGGCAAGTACACACACATTTTAAACTTGAAAAGAAAGTTTGGATATCATGTGAAAAGTGTAAAAACCTTAGGTAAGAACTATTACTTAATGTTGCCATCCTCAGATCTGTTAAGAGATTTTTTAGTCCATGATTACTTTACCATTATCCTAAGCAACATACTTTTGATGAGCATTAAGGTAAGCCTGTGTAAGGAGTCTGTTGTCTTCCTCAGTAAACCTAAAGTGTATGCAAAACCAAAAACATTTTATGTTTAGATAGAGTAGGGGGGTATTAAACCTATATTACCTATAGTTTTTTTGTTGTCTGTGTCCAACTGGGGAGATTACCCTTTACTTTCTGTCCTGGAAACATGATTGGATGTAAGAGGAAATCTCTCCAATGTGATGGAATTTTCATCTAAGACAGTTTTCACAAGAACATGTGCCCCTATTAAAGGGTATTTTCCCACTTCTTACTTCAATGACAGCTCAAAATTTTGGATTTCCCGCCACTTTCTGTCTCAATGACAACATTCACAGGACAAAAAGAGGCATAAATCTTTCCAGTGGAGACTCAGACAGCAATAAAACTATTTCCTTCTCTATCCAAAACTAAAAAATGTATTTTTGCCTTTTCATAAACTTCACCATAATCACCAAAACCAGGTTTATTTTACCCTTGGTTTACTTTGTTTTATTCCTCCCTAGCTAATCACATTAACCAATGAACAATACATTCAAGGCATGCTGTGAATAATAACTGTCATAAGGTGTTTGTGTTCTTAGCCAAACTGTCCAGCCATCAAAATGTATGGTGTCATAACTGATCATAAATGCAGCAACATTGCAATTGCATATCAAACAGAAGCTCGGATGGCAGCTTCCTTGACTGTAAAGGTAGGAGGGTTTAGTACTGTTTTAAAGTGTCATATGATTTGATCACAATTATGTACTATTTATTTTTTGGTACCAAAGAGCTTTATTGCAAAAATATTGGAACATACAAATGATAAGATCAGAGAACCGAACAAGGAAGAGAACAGGATAAAAAAAAAATTACCCACTCAGAGCTTTTGAAATAGCTAAGTTGTACAACATGGTTGAGAAATCATAAGGATCAAGACTATTATGCAACAGAAAATAGTGTAGATCACTGTTAGCTCTTAAGGCAAAACATATCAAGGGTTGCGCAACCTAACCGCTAAGCGTTACAGCTTTATGTAATCGTGTATAAAAAAAACAGAGCGAGAAAGTCTTCTAATGAGCCCATTCATTTGCTATAGAAGAAGGAGAGCACACCCAGCTTTGGGATAAAGTCGAAAGGGATAATAAAAAGAATAAATGGTCTATACACAAAAAAGGAAACCCAGTTAGTGGCAGTAAGATGGGGAGAGACCCCCCCCCCAAAAAAAGAAAAAGGGGGGGGCAAGGAAGAAACAGAAGGAGGGTTATAAAGAGAAGAGCATAAGAAAAGGATCAAGATCAGGGAATGTCCGCCACAGGGGATCAGTGAACTACTGTATGCACTATTTTTTTAATGCATTGCTAAGCACCAATACCTTGGTGCTTGAAAAAGAAAATGATTTACACTCACAGTATACAATAACAAATCACAATTACGAAATATGTACGCTTTAGAAGATGTTAACATAAGGATGACCATCTTTATTGGCAAGGAATGGAAATAGAAGGGTTGAAATAGTTATGCTACATCATGCTGCTCCAGTTACACTTCAGGAGTTTCTGTAAGAGCCATTGTGAGCATCTTCAATTAGTAAAACCTACAAATACCAAATTCTTAAATTAAAACACAAAATAAATGACCTGAATATATATTTTAATAGGTGCACGCGCAAAATGCTAATACTAATGATGAATTTAATTATTACTCCTATATTTTAAGGATACCATCAAAGCCTTCTGGTGACAAATGGGTTAATTCCCTAGTGTAAAAGAACTTTGAAGTGATTTTAGTGCGCAAATGAAAAAAAAGAGCACAAATCTCTGCCTTTGTCTATAATGCTGGTGTTAATATTTAATAACTCACTTTACATAATTAATAACAAGTAATAATTAAAAGGATAAGATTATGATATATGATGATCATAAATTTGCACTCTCACATACTTAAAGAGTTTACTTCTGGGATTATTTAACGTGTGCCTAAGGCTCACTGGGAAAAAAAATTGATTCTTTCAAAGTGGGTTGCATACAAACTTATATAAAAATGTGCAGTCCTGTGCTTTTTAATTATTGTGATTAATGAAAATGGGTCATGCTAGATCTATGCCTTCAATAATAATACTATCTAAAGGATGTATGTTTATTATATCTAAAATGATAGAATTATTCAATCAAAATACATTATATTATTATAGGAATCATTTTGTATAGGTATGGTAGCTATTATCTAAAATGCTTGGGGCTTTCCATAAATGTTTTTGCTGAAAATATAGAACATAATTTAGACTCACATCATACTGCTTCTATCATTCTCTTTACTACCAAAATAGGGCACAATGCTATTGTGAATTGTTAGATCCCCATCTCCAACCTTCCATAAGACACCTGTTGGCCACTGTCTAATGCAGTGGGTTTAGAGATGTTGACACCAAGATATAATATTTACAAAGTGTACTGGCTTTCTCTTCTTGACTGACAATATGAGAACACTTGTTGATAAATCCAGCATAACAAATATAGAATAAAAGATTGTGCAGCAGCTGCCAAAAGATCAAAAACCCTATGCAGCTATCTTGCTTGTTTCATGGGCTCTGGGTTCACAGCTGTCAAACCCTGATTGCAGAGTCCACATTCAGGATCTGTGTAAAGGGGAAGAGAATCCCGTGACTGATCAAACTCTCTCCCATTCACAGATTGTACAGGAAGTTCAAAGTATGTCTACAAGTTATTGTTCATCTAATTGTTCAGATGATTTAGGCAGTCATACATGTTCCAGCGTGCCACCCAGTATACACATGTAATATAAAAGGTTTCCATTTTAACAATTTTTTTTTCAACATGCTTGTCCTCCTCCATGCATGTTTCAAGATGACCTCTACACATTAAAGTCTAGATGTCCAAAATGAGGCCTATTGTAGAGGGGGTTAAGGAGCTCTATGTGGATTAATTGTAAGTTACCCATTGTGCAGAGAAGATGACCAGTAACCAAACAAATATATCAATGGGTCCTTAGGTGATGTTATATATAGAATCGCATGAGGAAACTTAATTATCGTTTTCCAGTATTGCAAGACATGAAGGCAACGCAATAGGGCATGTGTTCAATTGGCACCCTCCAATTTACTTTTGGAGCAACATTTAAGGTACAAATCAGATGCCACAATTTTATTTAAAAATTCAAATGTGTAAAATGCTCTATCTACTCAGCTACACTGAATTCCCTTGTAGGTCTCATTCACAGTGCTGTTTCATAAATCATCTGCTTGAAAGTTGCATTGCCATTTAGGTAGATTATTTTTTTCTAAAGCGATTAGGAATTTTGTGTTAACATGTGAGTACAGGAATGTAATAGAGTATTTGCATTTGCTACTAAAAGTATCGAGGATGGGTGTGGGTCTTATGTAAGTAAGAGGGATAGCTTATTTCACTCTTTCAATAATGTCAGTTCAGTATAATATGTAAATTGGGTTGAGGCTATATTAAATCATGTACATAACTCGTAAAGGAGACAGGGTTATGAGTGGTCAAGTCATATAGTTGTCGTATTGTGGGAATGCTCATATCTCTACATACAGAGTAAGTCACATGTTGATGACCCTATTGGAATATGGGGATTTTCTTTAATGGGAACAACTGCAGAGATATAGGGATGCAAATTAAATGTCTATCCTATGTCTCTCCAGGCAACAATTGTGTCTCTAAACAAAGAGAAGGAGTTTGGATATCCTAGTATAGAGGGAGGCTTTCAGTGACCATGGTTCTGCTACTCCTTCAACAAGAGTCACATTAAAATAGTGTGATACCTTATCTAGCCAATCAAATGCATGTCTTAAGAGGCAGGCTAGGTTGCATGTTCTGATGATAGGGATACTGAAGTCTTCCTCCACTTTTAGGTGCCCTCAGTTTATAAAACAAGATGCAGGGCATTTTTGCCTTCCAAAGAATCTTGCCGATAGGAGCTTATAGTACTTTTGTGTCTTTTTGCTTCAGTTGCAAAGGAAGTGTTTCACACGGGTACAGTAGCCTTGCAAAGATAACCATTTTTAACAAATGTGCTTTGCCAAATAATGAGGAATGGAACCCCAACTGTCTAATTCTTTGCATATTTTAGGAGTTTATAGTTTAGCTGATATAGTGTCAAGGGGATATTTCCCACATATAATCCCTACTAAGTTACGTGGGTCTTTGCCAGACCTATAACAACTAACTTCTTTCTATTTGTAACCTTTGGTTTTTCTAGCCAGGTGCAAACCACATATAAAAACTATATATACAGTAGTTACAGATACAGCAGTAAACCATAGTTTTTTTTTTAACTCATTAAATCATAAAAAAGCATTTGGAAACTGGAAGGAACAGGTCTGTCAGATCCAAAGGCACCACATAATCACTAGAGAAATTTCTAACAATCAGCAACTTGCATGATAGGTGCCTCACAGGACAACAGCTTCAAGAACAGATTAACAGTGTTGAAATAATCAAGTGTCATTTTCAGCTGTGAAGAGAAGACTCTTAGCTGCAGGGTGAGTGGCTATTAGATAGTCGCTGTTAAAATTATATGATAAGATAAGAAAAGAGGCTTGTCTGGGCCAGAAATCACCAGTGGTGGACTACTGAAGACTGGAAGTCTTATGGAATGACAAATCAAAAATTAAAATCTTTTATTCAAACTTATCACGTGGTATTCCATGTTTAT